ATTTTCTGCATAGACAATTGAATACATATTCTATTTCAATAAGAATAAATGTCGTAGGGACATACCTTTCTGAATCTGTTTACGTGTTGAAAAACGGTCATAGCTAGTGAAAAATACAAGTCTTGGATCCACTACTTCTTAGGGTCTGCTTTGCCATCATGGGAAATTACATTCTACTGAGAAGGCTAATTGGGTCTCATTGATATTTGGATGATTTAGCAATGTTCAAGGCTTTCAAAAGCTGACAGTTTTGTATTTTAAACTAACTACAAAGTTATCTTCTAGAAGTTGGAAGTCCTCAGCTTGTGAAGTGCCCAGTAATTCAGTGTGTATATGTCTGTGAACTTGTGTGCGTGTGATTTCAGGATTGTAGAAATAAGTTCCATATAGCCTTCTGATACCTTTCTCCTCCATTTCAAGGTGTAGGTATATATTTAGACAAGTAAATTGATACTCTTTTGTCATTTGGCATATTGGTGGAAATAAGAGGTTCTCAAACTTGTTTCAGAAAGGTTGGGGAGCATGAGCTTAGAAAATGGGAGGAGATAGAGGCAGGGAGGTTCTTTACACTTTGTGCAGGATGAGAAACAGTAGCTTTTCTCTTTTCTTCTAAAGCAAACTGGCACTGAATTGTAACATACTAATATTCAGAATTGCTTTTCTGATCAGAGACAAGTGCCTCAGATTTTTCAAGGCAACATGAATGATGAAATGTGTTTTAGCAGTTATCTTTAAAAGTAGTTTTATTTTTCAAGTAAAAGGCTATATAGCCTGTTCTTTTTTCCAGCTGTACATGAATTTCTCATTGATCCAGGTACGTGATCAATGTGCTTAGTTTCTTTTTTTTTTTTTTTTAAGTGCTTGTTTCATTCTGGTGTGAATGAATGTTTAAAATTTCTGGATTTTGATCTTTAGAACATGCTGATTTATCAGAACTGTTAAAAACCGGATGTTTTGTCCTCGTTTGGTGGGGCAACCTATTGATTTATGTTGTCTGTTAAAGAGGGAAATTCTTCCTCTAGCCTGCAGATAAGTGAATGGTTTGAAGTGTGCCTTAAAAATTATTTGAATGCATTGAGCATGTTTGTCCAGTCAATTTTGAATTGACTCATAATAATGACTTTGCTTTGATTCTGTGGCTTTTGTCCTCTCCACAAGAATTTGAATTCTCTGTTGCATTTTGTATACGTGTTCTTAACAGGGGAAGAAATTTTGCATTTTTACAGAGGTGGGTTTTACTATCCCTTCTGAGTGCCTT